GCTCCCTGCTGACAGGGATTTTTCATAGGTAACATTGTAACACTTTTCCTTCAAGTTCATATAATCTTTACTGTTTCCTAGACTCTCAGCTTTCAGCTTATAACTCCTATAACACAGAACTGAATGTCTCTCCTTTCACACACAAATATTTAACTCAGATCTCTTATATTATACAAGACCGCTTCACTCTTTTCATACACAGGACCAACTTATCCCACACAGGGATGTGTCTCCTTCTCTCAGAGACAGAACTTAACTGACTGCCTGTTTAACTGTCCTCATCAACTGTCTAAACTGTAACTCTTGACTGACATACAAATCATCCACACAGCATCACTTCCAAAACCCCTCCCCCTTTCTGCCAATCACCAATCACACCACTTGCCTGTTTCAACCACCCTAGACTATCTCTCACCGCCATGCAACCCAACTTTTAAAGACACACACACACAGTTAAACATGAAATCATTACAATGACCCTCTACCTTGATATGGCCAATCTGGTCACCAGGAACTATACCACGATAACTATGATACTAGACTATTGTAATGCACTTTACCTTGGTCTTGCGTCAATACCACGGCTTGGCTATAAATAGGAGCTAGACAGAGCAAACCTCCACTGGTAGACCCATCAGTTATCGGGCTGTTTAAGGTACTGGCTATCACGTACAAAGTCCTTCATGGCCTTGGTCCCTCATGTCTGTGGGACTGTCTCTGCCCCTATGCTCTGCCACACCAGGTTCCCTCATCTGAGCAGGTGCTACCCTGCAAATTCCTGCCAACCTAGCAGTTCGAAAGCAAGAACTTGCAAGTAGATAAATAGGTACCACTTCGGTGGGAAGGTAACAGAGCGTTCCGTGCGCCTTGGTGTTTAGTCATGCCAGCCACACGACCACGGAAACATCTTCGGACAGCGCTGGCTCTTCGGCTTTGAAACGGAGATGAGCACCGCAACCCTAGAGTCGGATTCGACTGGCTTTCGAGCAAGGGAACCTTTACCTTTACCCTGCAAATGGGCAAAATCAACAACTGCCTGTACGTGTTCATTCTCTGTTGTCCCCCCCCCCCATTCATATGCTGTGACTCCCACTCTCCTTGCTTTCTGCAAACTATGAAAACTGAATCATTTTCTATGCAGATAACAGGGCTGTAGTGGAACAGTAGTAGAGGCCAGCCTGACCTCCTCCTTCCCAGCCCTGCTCTGCATGTGGGACCAAGACAGACCCCCCCCCCCTCCAGGGCTGCCCAACCTGGGGGAATATCTCCTCCTTCCCAGCCCAAGCACTCTTTACCCAGTCAGGCAACCCCCAGTCTGCCTTCTCGAGCCTCAGTCCTCCAGCTCTAGTGCAAGCAAAGCTGGATCCCCAAAGGAGGAACACTTCAGTATTTCTCTCCTCCTTTCTTCGTCCTCTCTAGAAACCACATCTCTGTCTGCTTCTTAACCCTTTACTAGATCTTGTGGACAGGGGGAAAAAGGACTACTTAAATGACACATTCTGCAAATTAAGCAAAAGATTAAACGTGCCTTTAAGCCCCACCCTGACCAAGAAAATCTGCGAACATCTTACCCAAACAACATTCATTACAATTTGGAAACTGCCATACTGACTTGATATTGTATTGGCAATGGTACCCTGCCCATATTCGCTATCAGCCTTAGCAAATAAGAAATCTTTAGAAACGGAAACCTTTAAGTAGAAAAATAAAGTACTAGAAAGTTTTCCCACCCCACAACTCTGTCAACTTTCTTTAACAGTGCGGTCCAAAGGAAAATGTATTGCATTATACAAGCACTTTGCCCTAGGAACATTCTTTCAGAGAATTTCTTGCAACTAAGTTATGATGCATCGGTGAATATTAATGAAATTTTTGATACCTACTTGTTGAAATGACAGACCAAGAGTCACTGCTTTCATCCACTTTCGGAAGAATAGTATCGAAACGATAGAACATTCTGGAGACCATCGTCACACCATTTTCAATTGCCTTGTGCATTTATATATGTAGATTTTTGTACACATTTTTGTATAAATGTTGTGATTGTTATTTAAATATTTTCTAGCGTAGTTACCTCACAGTTTCCTGTTTGAAGGAGACAGAGAACAACGGAAGGATATCCTGTCCAATGACTCAAGGAGCCTCACATTCAAGGACCAATGAGAGACTCTAGCAGAGACACTTCTTAGACTCTCAGTGTTCCCCATAATATTCCAGGATCCAAAGCACGGAAGACGAGAGCCCTCTGGGACCCTGTGTCACATGTCAGGCAGGGGTCCCCTAGCTCCCCTTCTGGGACTAATCAGTCAGACAGGACCAGAACCATCAGAGGATGATTCCCCCCCAATTACCATCTTGGCTATTTGGCAGCCTATGGTATTAATGCAGAGTCAGCAGGGACACTCTCCACCCCCTCACACTGTCCCAGGACAAGTCTTCCCTCACGGTCACTGAAGCAGTTGCAGCTCCAAAACCTTGCTTGAAACATAGACTGAGAAGGAACCTACTTCCAGATGTTTAAACCCAGAGACTGATATCATTTTGCTCTTTTATTAGATATTTTCAGCAAAACGGACATTCATCATGAATGTGGGCAAAGTGGTTTGGGTTCAGTCATGGAGATCAGTCATGGCACAAGACACCCGTCTCAGGCATCTGCAAGAGGATTTCTTTCTTACAGCTTTATACACAATTTAAAAAGACATGCTACACTAACCTTTGAAACGTTTAATAAAGCCACACTCATTAAACCCCCCACCCACAAAGTACATAAAGGAAAATACAAAGTCTGAATTACCTGGTAAAAATAATAACCACTATAATAACTGATAAACATGCCTTAGCTGAGTTTTGTTTTCTCATATTTTATTGATTACTGATAACATACATACATTTTAAACATGTATACATGATTATCAAAATCATACTGCTTCCTATAGCTGAACAATTTTGATCTAATTGTATTCAAATAACGAAACACTTGTATTCAAATAACGAAACACTTAAGTAAAGGTTGCGAACTGCCTGGAAGAAAATGCTGTTGCATTAACAGACGAAAGACCAGAAACCCGTGACTCTAATAACGAAGAATTTATAAAAATAACTTGTAAATGTTTATCAAATGTTCCAATATGAATGAAGAATATTATACAAAATATGGTGCCAGTTCAATATTGAAAACACCTCCAAGTCCCAACAAATTTCCTGAGTCAGTCCTTCTCAGTGATAGGACTTGGAGGTGTTTTAAATATTGAACTGACACCAGAGATATTTTGTATAATATTCTTCAGATTGGAACAATTGATAAATATTTACAAGTTGTTTTTACAAATTCTTCATCATTATATTCACAGGTTTCTGGTCATTTGTTAGTTTTTCCATACCGTGGATCTCCACTTTTTGCTTTGGTTGCATTAACAGAGGCATCATGGGATGTTATTTACCTCTTCAGCTCTCCATTTCTACACACCAAGCCTCCATGAAAGGGGCAGGATATTTTTTCCCCTTTAGACCTTTTAGCAATTCTAACACAGATACTTTTCCAAATTAGTTAGATGAAAAAATAATTTTCTCAGAATGCTCAATAAAAATACAATCTCAAGGGAGGAATTCAAGGGGGGGCTGTGAAGAGTCAGTGATGGGGAGTAGGGAGGAAGCACTCCAGGTCATTTCCAGCTCTTGGAGCCCAAAACAGGAAGAGGGAATTTTACTTCTTCCTGATTCTCTCTGGGCAAATCTGGGGTGGGTGGGGAGGACAACTGGAATTGGGAAACTTGCGTCCCACAATGTTCACCTGTCAACACCAAGGATACCTGCTCATTTCCACAATACTGTATGTTGTTGGGGGGGGGGTCTAACCCTTTGAATTGAGTTCCTGGGTTGGGGGAGACAACCATTTCCTTTCAATCCAAATTAATCCTGCTGCCAGAACTCTTTGGGCTTCAAAGTGGTGAGGCCCCCAAAAGCTCACAGCAGGCTGGACTAGTGAGGGATTAGGGTCTCTAGAACTCGTGATTTTGGGGGGGGGGGTAAATTAAGGATGCCAGCTGTTCACACTACTTTTATGCCAGTTGCAGAGATACTGTAGGTATCTCATGCCCTCAACTTGTCTATTTCGTTACAGGATATGGAAGAGAAACGTTTTCGCCAGTTTAGCAGATGTCAAATAGAGTTAGCTTGGCAGATATCCTGATGTAGCAAGTTTCACAGAGGAAAGCACTACTAAAAAGTGGCTCTTCTTTGTGTAACTACATTCTGAGCCTTTCTGAGCAACCAACACCTCAGCGTTCGAACAAGAGTTCATCAGAACCAACTATAGGAAAGTTTCACACTTGTGTCGATTCTCTGAGCAACAAGAAGATTAAATTGTTCCTCAAGCTCTTGGAAAACTGAGCACTGATGAGCAGTGTTCCCACTAAGCTTAGTTAGTGTGAGCTAGCTCACAGTTTTTTAGCCTCTGGCTCACACATTTTTGCCTTAGCTCAGGAAGGATGGCTCCAGAGCAAACGAATTTATGCAGTAGCCAAATTGCCTGCTCATAACTTTAATGCCAGTAGCTCACAAAGTAGAATTTTTGCTCATAGGACTCCACAGCTTAGAGGGAACATTGCTGATGAGGTGTCTTTCCTGTGTGGATTCCTCAATGGTTAAGGAGTTATGAGCTGGTCTTCAATCTTCTTCAACCTCAGAGCACATCCTTCATTTCTTCCCTGTGAGCAGTGTTCCCTCTAAGCTGTTAGTGTGAGCTAGCGCATGTTTTTTTTAGCCTCCAGCTCACACATTGTTGTCTTAGCTCAGGAAGGATGGCTCCAGAGCAAACTCATTTATACAGTAGCCAAATTGCTCACTCACAACTTTAATGCCAGTAGCTCACAAAGTAGAATTTTTGCTCACAAGACTCCACAGCTTAGAGCGAACTTTGCCTGTGAGATCTAATTGACTTTTCAGTCATGGCTAAATCTCTTTCCACAATCTGAGGATTTATACCATTTCTTCCTGGTTAGGGTAAGGTTTCTGTGCAGATGCAAACTCTTTACAAGGGTTGACATGGTGTCAGCTGTCTCTATGGTTGGTGGTTTTCTTTTAAGTATATAATGAGAGAAAAGCTCTTTTCACTGGCTAAATAGTTACATGATTTCTCTTTGTGTGGGTTCTTAGATGGTTTTGAAGATTGCCATGCTGACTGAATCTCTTTCCACACTCTGAGCATTCATAAGGTCTCTCCCCTGTGTGGGTTCTTTGATGCTGTTGAAGAGTATAACTCCTACTAAATCTCTTCCCACACTCTGAGCATTCAAAAGGTTTCTCACTTGTGTGATTTTGTTGATGGTGTTGAAGAGTGCCTCTCTGACTGAATCTCTTTCCACAGTCTGAGCATTCAAAAGGTTTCTCCCCTGTGTGGGTTCTTTGATGCTGCTGAAGAGTGAAATTCTGACTGAATCTCCTTCCGCACTCTGAGCATTCAAAAGGTTTCTCCCCTGTGTGGGTTCTTTGATGCTGCTGAAGAGTGCAACTTCGACTGAATTTCTTTCCACACTCTGAGCATTCAAAGGGTTTCTCTTTTGTGTGGGTTCTTAGATGTCGTTGAAGAGAAGAACTGTCACTGAATCTCTTTCCACACTCTGAGCATTCAAAAGGTTTCTCCCCCGTGTGGGTCCTTTTATGCTGTTGAAGATTGCCATTCTGAGTGAATCTCTTTCCACACTCTGAGCATTCAAAAGGTTTCTCCCCTGTGTGGGTTCTAAGATGTTCAAGAAGATGGCCACTCCGACTGAATATGATTCCACACTCTGAGCATTCCAAAGGTTTCTTCCCTGTGTGGGTTCTTTGATGCCACTGAAGATTGCTACTAGAATTGAATTTCTTTCCACACTCTGAGCATTCAAGATGTTTATCCCTTATGTGTGTTCCCTGATGCTGTTGAAGATTGCCACTCCGACTGAATTTCTTTCCACACACTGAGCACTCAAAAGGTTTTTCTCCTGTATGGGTTCTTTTATGCTGTTGAAGATGGCCAATCTGACTGAATTTCTTTCCACACTCTGAGCATTCAAAAGGTTTCTCACCTATGTGAGTTCTTAGATGCTGCTGAAGATTACCACTCCTATTGAATTTTTTTCCGCACTCTGAGCACCCAAAAGGTTTTTCTTCAGTGTGGATTCTTTGATGCAGTTGAAGATTGCCACTCAAACTGAATCTCTTTCCACACTCTGAGCATTCAAAAGGTTTCTCCCCTCTGTGGATTCTCTGATGCTGTTCAAGAGTGTCACTACGTCTGCATCTCTTTCCACACTCTGAGCATTCAAAAGGTTTCTCCCCTGTGTGTATTCTCTGGTGCACAAGGAGCTGTGATCTGTACTTAAAGTACTTTTCACACCGAAAGCATTTACTTGCCTTCATCATACTGTGCTTTGAAAAATATGCATTACCCCTTCTTCTCTCAGAGAATGTCTTTCCAGTCTCTGAGCAGATAAATGGCTTCTCTCCTGAATGAACCTTTTGGTGTTGAAGAAGGTGTGATTTCTGTGTGAAACTCTTGCCACAGACTGAGTAGCTATGTCTTTGATGTCTTAGGAGCTCTGCTCCACGGAGGAAGCTCTGTCCACACTCCAAGCATTGATGGGCCTTCTTTCCACTGTGCATTTGCAAATGGATATTATATTGGATTTGATCTGAGAAGGTGATTCCACATTCCAAGCACATGTGTGTTTCCTCTGCCATGGGAATTACTTCATGGAAATTCTCCCCTTGGCAAGCAATGGGTTTATCCCGGTCCTTGACCATGTGGCTTCCCTTCTGCCTCTGAGTTCCGCCTTGATTCCTGAAGTTCCCTTTCAAGTCTTCATCCTTAAGTTCATCTGGCAATAGCTGATGCAGTTCCTCGTCCTCTTGATCATCCCCAGCTGGAATAAAGACAAGAGATCCCTTTATAGTCTGTCTATCCCTCCCCTCCCCATACTCTCTGTATGTACTTTAAGTAAACACAGTAGCCAAGATCTGCTGTTAATGATTAAATACAGGAAGTCATCATGATGTGTGGTCCTACAACTGCAGAGACAGTTTCCTTCTACTTGTGAACAAGAGCCCCGAGGACCTGGTTTTCAGCCTCCCAAAAATACATATTTGCTGTGGGGGAGGGAGAAGCCAGGACCTCATCCAGTGAACCCCAATGATTTTTGGCCTATTGTCGGGGGGGGGGGGAATGCCCTGATGGTAAGTAACCCTGCCCCTTTCCTTGGAATATCCAGTATTTAAGGATTAAATACAGCCCCTCAAAAGCCACAGGTGAGCCGAGCCCCAGAAGAACCTTCTGGCCCTTCATATCCAAGGCCCCAGGTGGCTTTCTTCCCTCCTTACCCAGCAGGCTACATAATGCTACGAAACCAAGACTTCCATAGAAATGAAGTAGAAATGTCCCATGGGTGTTCTTTGCCCATTCCCTTGACATAACTGTGAAGGATACCCACTCTCAGCCAGCTCATTTGGGAAGGAAATACTCTCTTGAGATCCTCTTGAGAAACTCTCCAGTCTTTCTCCAGAGACAAGGCCTTTGTCTGTCTCCACTGTAGCCTCTCTTACATTCCTGGCTTCTTTGGGGGAGAGAAGAGAGAGAAAAGTGATCACTCTTATATGCGGATGGAAAGAAATCCAAAGAAGAGGTAAAATTCTTCTGGAAGGATGAAACCATGGTCAAGTTCAAAGCCCACAATCCCAAATAGTACGAGGGGGATGAATTCATTCCAGATCAAAGTCAGAGTGGATGACCGTAATCCCATCTGGAGGAAGGGCATGGTGTAAAGATCGGCAGCTGAGAAATTAGGACTGGGCCCCTTCCAGACTCTGAGGGCCTCCATCCCCACCATGGCCTCAGGCCAGGATACCCTCTCTGGCTTGGACGATGGCCACGACACTGGCCTCAGTTGCCCCTGGCTCTGCCAGGTGGTTTTGGTCACTCTACCTGGCCATGCTGAACATTCCTTTTGTTGCCACCCTACATCCTTAAGGGCCCCAAAGGGAGAAGTAGCTGGGCAGGTGTCAAAATGATGTATTACTGTTTAGTATTTTGATTCATGCATCACCCAATGACAGCAATTTACACTTTTGGCACCTATGAAAGATTCTTACCCAGGGAGGCCACAGTGCCATAGTTCTTCAGCGTGACTTCCCTGTAAGGAGCTCTTTGGCCTGGATCCAGCAATGCCCACTCAACCTCAGTGTCATACATGGCCACGCCCTCGAAGGAAGCCGGAGACTGAAAGAAAAAGCACATTCCCTCATCAGAGATCATGCCAGGCAGAGAATGCACACTGGAACTCAGGTTCACAGCTTGGGAGTGCTGCTTCCACGGGGTCACCTTAGAAAGCCACATGGCTGCTGTGGCTTGGAGTACGTTTGTCCAGCTCCAGCTAGTTCCTGGTTCAGTCAAATCTAGGCACAGTCAGAGCCGGCTCTTCCATTAGGCCAACCTTGGCGATGGCTTAGGGCTGCAGATCTCCGAGGGGCGCAGCGAGGCCCCTGCCGCCACCGCCCGCCCGCCCCCAGCATGGCTGTCTGGGCGCCCCGAGAGGGAGGGAGAGGGGGGAAAGAGAAGAAGGCGGCTGCTTCCTGCGCTGCCAATTGTGGCCACTCGCGCGCCAGGCCCCGTCCCCTTCCCACCAGCTCACTTTGCCTCACGCCTCCCATTCGTTTCCTCCAGTAAGGCTGACTCCTGCCCCTTCAGCTTGCTTTGCGTGAACGGGAAGGCTCCCCCCATTGTGGGAGGGGGAAAGGTCATGGTCGTGGGGGGGATTCTGGGCTTTCCTTGCTCTCTCTTCCCTCCCCCATGCATTTTACTGTACTAATTTATGCAGCAGCCAAATCACTTGCTCACAACTTTAATGCCAGTAGCTCACAAAGTAGGATTTTGGCTCACAAGACTCCACAGCTTAGAGAGAGCATTGCCCCCCAACTATGCCTTTTGATCTTCTGTTCTCTCCTATTTCCAAGCCCTTTCTGTTCTCTTTCCTTCTCTTCCCCCTCTCCCCTGCATTTCACTGTATATTCAGGGTCTTTTTCTTTCCCCACCACATGTGCTGCATCTGCATTAACGATGTTTGTGTGTGAGTGAGTGTGAAGTGCCTTCAAGTTGCTCCCAACTTTTCATTCTTCCTAAAATGCATTTATGTTTGAAAAGGGGGGGGGGGGGGCCGGGGGGGGGGGGGGAGGCACCAGAAGGTGTCCTTGCCTAGTGTGCAAAAAAACTTGGGGCCGGCCCTGGGCACAGTGACCCATGCTTTACCATGGACTACTGCAACACACTCTACTTGGGCTACCCATGAAGTGTGTTCAGAAGATGAAGCTAGTGCAGAACACTGAAGCTAGGCTGCTCGTTGGAGCCAGCTATTGGGGGGCATGTGACCCTGATATTACTGCAATTCCATTGGCTACCCATCCACTCCTGAGCCCAATTCAAGGTGTTGTTTTGGTCCTTTAAAGCCCTACATGGCTTTGGACCAGGTATCTGAAGGACCGTCTTCTCCCATATGTTCCTGCCCGGGAAATATGATCGCAGGAAGACACCCTCCTGGCTGTTCCACCGATTAAAGGTGTTTGTTTGGAGAGTAGAGGAGAGAGGGCCTTTTCTCTGGCAACACCGTAATTATGGAACAACCATCCCAGGGAGGTGTGCCTGGTCCCCTCATTGTTCATCTTCAGGAGGCAGTTGAACACAGTTTCATTTAGGACTGATTGATTTATTTGATTGATTTATCTTTTATTATTGGGAGTCCTAATTGGAGTTTTGAAGAAGAACCTGCAGAATTAGAAAGTGAAGTGAAAGCTTCACAGAGAGCAACAGGGAGAAAGAAATCACCAGGAGCAGACAAGATATCAACAGAGCTATTCCAAGTCACCAAAATAGAGCCCCCCAAAACCTTAAGAAGAATATGCCAAGAAATATGGAAAACAAAACAATGACCCACAGATTGGAAATGCTCCACCGACATTCCAGTTCAGAATAAGGGAGATATCAACAGCTACAGCAACTACTGGACCATCGCATTAATTTTTCAGGCAAAAAAGTAAAGCTCAAAATCGTACAAGACTGTTATCATATATGGAATGAGAAATGCCAGATGGTCAAGCTGGATTCAGAAAAGGAAGAGGAACTAGAGATCCTATTGCAAATTTATATTGGCTATGCTGGATCCTATTGCAAATTTACGTTGGCGCAAACAAGTTCACATTTGAGTTTTTTCAGAATTCTTGGATGTATGCCCTTTGGGCCTGGTGATGTCAGTTTTTCACTTGTCCATCAGGCATAGGACCTCCTCTCTCATCACCTGAGTCCGACTCAGGTCTTTCAACATCCCTCCTGTAATCAGTGGTTCTGGAGTGGGCAAGCACCTCCCATCTTCCCCAGTGAAGACAGAGGCAAAAAAAGCATTCAGCCTCTCTGCCATTTCCCCATAATCCTCTGCCATTTCCCTATCATCCAAGAGCCCCCTAACTCCCTGGCTCATTTTCAGCTTGTGTTTCATAGATTACAGCAAAGCTTTTGACTGTGTGGATCATGAAAAGCTATGGTTGTGTAATGTATCCAGTTCAGACCGCGTGGTCGACTTGGGCTCCACGCGGTCAGTGCTCGATGAGACAATAGACTCTGAGGATCCTAACCCGCTCCAATCAGGAGGCTAGGTTCCCGGCCGAGAGCCTATGGGACTCTCGGCCACTGTAAATAACCTATTGGGAAGTGGGGGTGTGTTTTGGGTGGTGGTTTCTTGGGGAATATAAGCCGGCCTGCGAGCCGGTCAAGGTGTCTTGTTCCTGACACCTCCGTCTGCGTGCTTTTCAGGTTGGTTTTAAAAGAAACAAGAAGCGGGACCCACGATACTCGTGGGGAAGGGGGGGGAATTCCTTGCGGCTCCCGGGTGGCTGGCTTGCTGAAGCACAGAGGAGGAGGTGGCGGCCGCAGGTGAGCCCAGCAGGCGGTCCACTGAGCTTGCCAGGGTTCCCCCCACACCCGACAGCAGCAACGGCCACGGCTCTAGCCACCGGCCCTCCAAGGTTTCTCCCCCCCCCCCATCGCAGCCACCAGCAGAAACAGACTGAGACTGAGAAGGGCAGCCATGAAGGACCTAGAAAAGATCCTTAAGTATCAGGCTGTGTCACTGGTGACCAAGATCAAGATGAGTCTTACCATAGTATTCCCCAGCACTATGTATGGGTGTGAAAGTTGGTCAGTGAAGAAAGTTGATTCATTTGAAACGTGATGCTGGAGGAGAGCTTTCCTATATCGTGGACCCACCCAAAAAGACAAATCAGCGGGTTCTAGACCGAATCGAGCCTGAACTCTCCCTAGAAGCTAAAACGACTGAACTGAGGCAATCGTACTTTGGTCACATTATGACAAGAGTCACTGGAAAAGTCAATAATACTAGGAAAAGTTGAAGGCAGCCGGAAAAAAGGAAAATCTAACATGAGATGGATTGACTCAGTCAAGGAAGCCACAAGGGCCCTCAGTTTTCAAGACATGAGCAAGGCTGTTAACGACAGGACATTTTGGAAGGAAGAAGAAGAAGAGGAAGAGGAAGAAGAAGAGGAGGAAGAGGAAGAAGAGGAAGAGATTAGATTTATATCCCGCCCTTCACTACCCAAAGTGTCTCAGAGCGGCTTACAAACTCCTTTCCCTTCCCCTCCCCACAACAGACACCCTGTGAGGTAGGTGGGGCTGAGAGAGCTCTTGACAGAAACTGCTCTTTTCCAAGGACAGCTCTTATCAGAACTACGGCTTGCCCAAGGTCATCCAGCCAGGTGCAAGTGGAGGAGTGGGGAATCAAACCTGGTTCTCCCAGATTAGAGTTCGCGCACTTAACCACTACACCAATACTAATACTACTAATAATAATATATTTAATTTATACTCCACTCTATCCCATGATCATTGATACGGTTGTCTTAAGTCAGAAGCGACTCAACAACACTTGGGGCGATTTCTCACTAGAGCTGCCTCACAGCACAGCGCCGTTTGCCTCGACACAAACATGTCAATTTCACACCCGAAGCTCCGGGGCTGCATTTTGACTCGGGGCTTCACCCGATTTCCTCCGCAGTTTCGTGATCCTGGTTTTTGAGGATCATGAAACTGCGGAGGAAATCGGGGGAAGCCCCGAGTCAAATGCAGCCCCGGAGCCTCGGGTGTGAAATTGACATGTTTGTGTTGGGGCAAACGGCGCTGTGCTGCGAGGCAGCTCTAGTGAGAAATCGCCCTTGGGCTTTTTCTGCATTCTCATTTTCCTGACTTGTGTGTTCCTGTTGCTCCAGGGTTTTTTCCTGTTCTGCATGTGTTTTTCTCCCTCTACTGGTGGATATTACATTACTTTATGTCCGGCAGAAAAACCTGCAGTTCAAATCTGCAGGGAGATATGCTGGGCACAATGTCAAGAAGTATCAAATCAACCACTAGAGGGAGCAAAAAAGGGGAGAACGAACGCCCCCCTCCCCCAAGCTACAGGAAGGCATGAGGGAGAAACAGGAGAATGGGGGGGGGGGAACCACTTAACACACACAAGCAGTTACAATTTTTAAACTATGGCTTTTCGTGGGTTTTATGATTGTTGTTTTAATTGTGTTTTTATAATGTTTTATTGATTTTGTAAGCACCCAGAAGTTCCGCAAGGGAGACAGGCAGGTAATAAATGTTCTAAATAAATAAACGGAAGGGGCCTTCTGGGAGGGTGCAGGTTGCAGAGCTTTGCCTGTGTAAAGGGAGGGGCGTTCAGAGACTCTCTTGCCCTACCACCTTAGAAGAAGAAGAAGAAGAAGGAGGAGGAGGAGGAGGAGGAGGAGGAGGAGGGGGGGGGATGGGGGAGGGGGAGGAGGATGAGGATGAGGAGATTGGATTTATACCCCGCCCTTCACTACCCAAAGGAGTCTCAGAGCAGCTTACAAACTCCTTTCCCTTCCCCTCCCCACAACAGACACCCTGTGAGGTAAAAGAAGAAGAAGAAGAGATTGGATTTATTCCCCGCCCTTCACTACCCAAAGGTGTCTCAGAGCGGCTTACAAACTCCTTTCCCTTCCCCTCCCCACAACAGACACCCTGTGAGGTGGGTGGGGCTGAGAGAACTCTGACACAAACGGCTCTTTTCCAAGGACAGCTCTGCCAGAGCTTGTGACTGATCCAAGGTCAAATCAGCAGGTGCAAGTGTAGGAGTGGGGAATCAAACCCGGTTCTCCCAGATTAGAGTCTGCGCACTTAACCACTACACCAAA